GAGAGAGAGAGAGAGAGAGAGAGAGAGAGAGAGAGAGAGAGAGAGAGTCCTACTAGCTGGGTACAGCTGTCATTCGATGGGATACTGCTTAAACATCTTATGTGCGCAAGATATTCCCCTCTCTGCACCTAACACATCCCAAAACCCAGCGCCAATCATGTAAAGTTGTGAAGTCTGGGAAGCCTTTTGTGATCCAAGCAGGGGTCCAACCAAGAATCAAGCAAAGGGTCAGCCAGGGCATCCCCTGAACAGACTGAATCTCCCATGCTTCTCTGAGGGTTGAGTCTTACAGCTTTCAGATGTGATGCGTGGGGTTTTCAAACAGTGACAAACTGGCAGGCCTAACAGCATCACGGTCAACTTGAAGAAAGACAAAGATGTGACAGGGACTAAAGAGATGGCTCAGCAGTTAAAAGTGTATGAAATCTTTAAAGAATAATAAATATTGAAATATTGAGAAAGAGAATGTGGTGCTCGTGCGGAGGACCTGAATTCCGCTCCCTGTTCTCAATACCTGTATCTGCTGCTTCACAATTACCTGTAACTCCAACTCCAGGGCATCTGGTGCCTCCTGGTTCTGTGGGCACCTGTACTCGCTTGCACATAGCCACACACAGGTGCCACACTTGCACACATGTTTTTAATCTCATGCAACTAGCATCAGGTAGCTCATATGCTTTATATCTCTGAGGTAAAATTGGAACAGGAACTTTCAGAAGACGGGTCTGTGGCCAAGCACACTCCAGCTTTCTGATCTAGGTTCTTCATGTTTCTTCCATGTTGGGATGCATAAGATGGTGCCCACTTCATACTGTTGTACCTCTAGGTAGCATGGTTCAAGGTAAGGCTTTGATGTGATGTCTTCAAAATGAGCTGAAAACTGGACCAGTCTTACATCAGATTGGTTTGATCAAAATGTTTGCTGTCTCTGTACCAAAGAAATTTGGATACTAATAGTCGGGGAATAGCTTGGTCCTGGGGAGCTGATGTCTCTTCCATGCCTCCCTCCACATCTTTCTGCTGGTACTTTATCTCAAGAATTCTCCAAACAACTGTCAATCTAAATAACACTGTAGCCTTTCGTGTAAGGACAATTAACCAGTGACCAGGTCTCTTCCTTCCTTATCAGAATGCCACTGCTAAGGGCACTCACTAGGAAACACCAGGGGTAGCCATGGCACCTCTTGATTTCCTGAGATCCACCTAGGTTGAGTGCAGCACCTGTATTATAAAAATCTGTGTGGGACTGAATTTGGAGGTGTCCTCATTGTCTTCCTAATTGATAACCTCCTCAGCCTTAGCCCAAGGAGAAGCAGTGGATGCTTGTGCTAACTTTGTTCTCTGTATCTCTGACTTACTTGCAGAGGGCCATGCTCTGGACACCCCAAATCCCCAGGAATTTCCTCCAGGACTGTCGAAAAATATCAGTAAGAATCCTTTGACCTTTGCCCAGAATCTAAGTAAAAAAAAAAAAAAAAAAGGTTGTTTAGGATAGTGGCAGAGAAAACCCTCTGAACATAGAACATACACTAGCATCCTAACTGCTTTAGCATCTGCAGGGAGTCACGCAGGTGGTACCCAAAGCATCTCTCCAGTCTCTCTCCTGATATCTCTTGCTCTAGCGATGTCTCACTTGAGCCGGATTTCAATGGAGCTTGGGAACCAGGAAAGAAAGTAAATGTGTTAATGTTGAGGGCTAACGTGGGGGCTAAATCTTAGCATTAAGACACAATGCTTGTGTGTGACAACTAATGAAAAAAGTGGTCTTGGATTTGAAAGAGAACAAGGAAGGAGGAGAAGGAAGAGAGCAATTATGTAATTATAATCTCAAAAAAGAAAACTAGCTTAAAAATGCTTTCTATGCTTCCTGGTAAGACAGAGACGGAAGACACATTGCAGAGTTCTGGTCCAACGATTGCTCTGTGGGGAAGAGAACATTGGGTCCCTGTCACTGAGATAACTCTCAGTCCATTTCCCTACTGGACACCCTAAATAGTATGCCCACAGGCACAGTGACTTGGTGCCATGCACTTCTCCTCCATAGTGCCTCTCAGTTTCAACATGCTGTACCACCCAGAAGTCATTGCTTTTTGTTTTTAATAACCGAACAATGTTGCCTAGGAATATTGCTCAGCTTTCATTTGTATCCGTTTCCATGGTAACTGATGTTACCAGACAGTTAGCTTAAGGTCAAATCTGTTCTTAGAAGAAGATAAAAGGTTTGCCATCTCTGGATAGGAAGAGAAACAGAGGCCAAGCCAGGACCCTTTAATTCATGTTTGTCTTCCTTTCACTTAGATGTCACGTTCTTCAATGGGGTGTTTAAAAATGTGGAAAGTGTGGCTGAAATTTTTGGTAAGTCAAATCTGAAATTGTTGTTGTACTTCCCTTTGGGTCACTGACCAGCTCTCAAATAAAGACGTGGAGACTTATTATTAATTATGAATACTCAGCCTTAGCTTAGGCTTGTCCACTAGCCCCTTTAACTTTATTTAAACTATTCCTATTCATCTTGTTTACCTTGGGGCTCTTTGTATTTTTTTCATTCTGTGTTTACTACTTCCCTACTTTCTCTGTGTCTGGTTGGCTGGCCACTTGGCATCTCCCTGGTGTTTCTTTTTCTTTCTTCTCTGAGCCCGAGTTCCTCCTCCTACTTACTCTTCCTGCCCAGAAGTTCTGCCTATACCTTCTCCCTTGCTATTGACCATTCAGCTTTTTATTAGACCAATCAAGTACTTTAGGCAGGCAGCACATCTTTACATAACTAAAAAAATACTCTGCAACATAAACAAATGCAACACATCTTTGCATCATTTAACAGATATTGCACAACATGAAATTCCTTTCATCCACTGAGTGTCAGGATGGAGTGAGTGTAGGAACCTAGAAGAAATCACTAGGGTCTTGTTCTCTGTCTCTGATCTCTCTGCCCTCCTCAGCCAACTGCCAGCCTGTATCTGGACTCCTAAGAAGGTAGTTATATTGTTTAAGGCTTATCAGAGAGTCATTATACGCCTTCATTTTCCCTACTTCCATGTTCTAACTACAGAACTTCTGGGAAGAGCATGGTATCCCTGTTATATAAGCGAGGATGCTGAGCCTGTGGGAGTTAAGTGGGTTGCTCGAGACTTCAAAGCTAGAAGGAAGACCTTCTTCACGCCTAGACATTAGTCCCTTATACCAATATGGTATGGTTTTGTGTCCCCAACTAGCAAGTACATGTGATTCGTCAATATTTGAAAGATTGTCAAGCAATCCATGCGTGTTTCACATCAAGTATACAACTATTGGGCTACCACGAGGGTTGTTACTATCAAATATGGACAATGCCGGTCAAATAGTGCTATATACGGATATTGGAAAAGTCGCTGGAGCCTGCTGTTTGATTAGAAGAGCTGAGCATGGTGCCTATGACTCAGAGTAGCTATCCTAGAGGTCTTTGAACGAGAATACACATCTATGTAAGCATTCGTGTACACATAAATTTTAGAAAGCGTTTTCATCAACATTGAATCATTCTTTGCTTACGGGTGAGACCTCATGGTAACAAACCATGAGAAAAGAAGGGGAGTTTGAATGAGTTAAGACGAAACCAGAACAGGCAAGGGAGCCTGGTGCTCACAGACCACATCTCTATCCCATCAGTCCCTTCTGTAGTCCTGTGCACTCTGTGCGCTCTGAGTGGCAGTCACCTCCTTCAGCGTGGAACAGAGCGCTCACCAAAAAAGCAGAGGCTGGCGAAGCAAAACCTGAGGTTTAGAGCAGAAGCAAGCAGTGTTTTTCTTAATAGTTTTTGTGCCGTATGCTCGACAGTAGACCATCAGATGCTGCTTTGGACACATCTCTGACATTTGGGGGCAAAAGACTAGTGTCTACCTGGCAGGATGTCTGTGACATCTGTAGCATTAAACCAAAAGCTCTGCAATGTATCACACCCATGACCAATCAGAACCTTTGTGGTACTGGGAATATCTAGTGCAGTTTCTTGTGCAGAGGGGATGCTCAATTGCTGTGTGTCTACACGCCTTTCTTTTCTACACTGGATTGTAATTTAGAGTCTCATCACCCTGCCACTGGAGATTCAGTCTGCAAACTAATAATTTCACAGATCATAAAGGCGTGTCTTAAATATATCTATCTCACATAGCAGATAGTCTGAAGGTACCAGGATGGGTGCAGTAGCTGTGTATAGTAGCGGAGTCCTGCAGGTTTGTTCTATCTTGTTCCATTGCTGCCCTCCCTGGACATACTAGCTTTTCCAACCTCGTGGTTACAATATAGCTGCTGTAGTTCTAGCCAGCATATCCACATTCAAGGAAGGAGGAAAAGTACAGCTCAAAAGGATTGTCTTTTCTTTTTTTTCTGTG